TCCTATAGGGCTCATCCGTCCTGGATTCCCTGTATTTTCAGTTCCTATCTGTACCAGTGTACCTCCTCTGGTCTAGCCAGTCTTGCAAAATAGAATTCGAGTCATGGTAGTGGGGGTCCCTGATATTTTAAAACTGAAGGTGTGTAAATCTTTCCTTAGTCTATTATTGATTAAACACGCCCAATGGGAACCATCAGACTTGCTTGAACCCACTCAGGATGTTAGTTTAAAAGAGTATAGGCGTACCTCAGAGATACTGCTGCAGTGACGTGGGTCACCGAATTTTGTTTTGTTTGTTTGTTTTCCAATATAAAAAAAGTTATTTTTACACTTACAGGAGTCTATTTTTAAGGAGCCCCGGTAGTGTAGTGATTATTCATATGACTGCTAACCTCAAGGTCAGCAGTTTGAAACCACCAGCCACTCAGAGAAAGACAGGACTTTCTCCCCGCAGAGAGAGTCACCGCCTTGGGAGCTCACAGGGGTAGTTCTACCTTGTCTTTTTTTTTTTTTTTGACGTTACAATTATCATTTATTATATTATTTATGGCATCAAGCGTGTACAGTATGAGCCAATCAGTGGCAGTAATGACAGAGCGTGCGCTGTTACACAAAAACCGCGATAGAGTGAAGCCGCGGAAGTTGAAGCGCGAAGTGGCGAGGGTTCACTGTACCTCAGTCTTTGGCTCCGCGCGAGAAAGAATTCACACCGAAGCCTTGTTCTTGATCAAACTGAGTTTTATGAAAGTTAGAAGTTTCAGGTTTACACGGCACCCAAGGGACTCCTCCCCAGCATGCGGCCTGGCTGGAAACGGCTCGGCATCCCGCAAAAGTGTCCCCTCTACCTTGTCTTATAGGGTCGCTATGAGTCAGCATCCGCTTGATGGTCGTGAGTTAGTTTTTTTTTGTAGTCTATTTATGGGCATTGGTGGTGTACACACTGGTCTGCTAACTGTAATGTCAGCTATTCAAGACCACTAGCCACTTTGTGGGAGACAGACGAGGCTCTCTGCTCCCGTAGAGATTTATAACCTGAGAAACCCTAGGGCAGGGCTCCTCAAGCTACGGCCCTGCGGGCCACGTACTGCCTGCCGAGGACATTTATCAGGCCCGTTGGGTGTTTTTCCCCCTTTTGTTTTTTTACTTCAAAATAAGATATGTGCAGTGTGCATAGGAATTTGTCCATAGTTTTTTTTAAACTATAGTCCGCCCTCCAACGGGTCTGACGGACAGTGAACTGGCCCCCGGTTTTAAAAGTTGGAGGATCCCTGTTCTGGAGCTTGAGTGGAACCTGGGGACATGTAAGGGGGAGTCTGGATTCTTGAGGGTGCAGGTGACAGACATGCATAGCTAACCAGCTCATGCGCAGCACACTAGCAAAACCACAGCAGGATTTCCTCTGGCTAGGATGTTTGGGGCTAGAATGGGATGAACAGACCATCACGCAGGCAGCCACGAGCCCCGTGCGGCTGGTGAGCACTTGAGATGGGAGCCGGGCGGGTTGAAGTGTGCGGAGAGCCAAGTACGCGTGGCTTTCAAAGACTCAGAATGAGATAGCCCAGAATGATCCCCTGGGCCGATCGCAGGCTGAAGGCACAGCGTTCCGAATGCTCTTGCTGGCAGGTGCTGTCACGTCTACTCCAACACATACGCCCCGTGTGAATCTCGGCAGGAGACACGTGCGGGCCTGCGCCATCCGCACCCGCGGTTCGGTTTGAGCCATTGGGGCTGCCACGGTGTCCCTTCATCTCATTGGGGGTCTTCCTCCTCTTCACGGACCCTCTACTTTACCACGATGGCACCTGATAACTGCAAGGCTGGCTGTCCGAAACCGCAGTCCCTCTGAGGGAGAAAGAGGAGGCTGTCGACTCCCGTACTGAGTCACTGTCTCAGAAACGCACAGGGGCGGTTCTACTCTGTCCTATGGGGCCGCCACGAGTCAGAATGGAGTCGGCGGCAGTGAGCTTGGTGTTTGGGTTCTGCTTGAACCCAGCACGATGTACTTTACCTGTGTTCGTCAGGGCCGGTGTTAGCAGACAGGACCAATGCCCCCTGAGGCCATGTCCAAAGTATGTGGGACAAAGTCTCATCATCCTGACACACCTAAGGCTCTTCAAGACTCGCATTTGGCTTTTCGTCATTTTACTAGGAGTCAGTAATGGAAAATTCTATCGGGGTTTCCAGACTACCTTTTTGAGAATTCGATCCGTGCCATTTTATGTGACCGTGAGCCACCACTACACTGTGCAGTTTTCAAAGGGATCATGAAGCTGTTTTTGTTTTTCACTTCTGTATCCTCAGAAGCAATCACATACCCAGTATGAATGCGTTCTCAACAAGCTTGCCTGCCATTACATTTTGTACAAGGAGGCCAGGGCCCGGGGTGATGGAGCGGGGCCGGGCGAGGGAAGACAGGCTATGGAAGAAGGAGGGGAGGGCGGGCTGGGGAGGCAAGAAGCACATGCACGGAGGGTTTGATGGGATGTTGTTGTTGACTGCATTTCTTGCGACGAGCTGTGTAGCTACAGACAGCGTGCTGCTTTAAAACCAAGAAAAAAATTTAATTGCCTCCAGATTCCTTATCTTTCAAACCTAATATTAGTCTGAGGGCTAAAAAAAAAAACATCGAAGAGGAGGGGAAAAGGTCGCCTCATCCTCACTTCGAAGCAACTATCTATATTGAGTTAAATAAACCATAGTATGACAAAATATGTTTAAGAAAATTACAAGCTGTACCAGAGAATGAAGCAAGGGTGTTGGCCCTCTAAGTGGGGGTCTTCATCTCTGACGAGCTCGGCTGACATTCTGGAACAGGACTTCTCAAGGGGAGGGCCACGCTGGCAGCATCAGCTTCGCTGGGAACTTAACCAGACCAGCATCCCAGTCTCTGGAGGTGGGGCCCGGGAATCTGTTTTAACAAACCTTCCAGATGATCCTAATGCACACTGAATTCGGAAAAGCACTGCCAGAAGAGTGGGACTCCCCCGTGGGGGGCCGCAGGTGGGCTGAGAGTGGGAGGTGACATGGAGCTATATTGCACCAGGGCCTCAACAGTTGATGAGCTTAAGCTTCCTGGGAGAAGGACCGTCTGCTTTCGTCACCGCTGTATTCCCACTGCCTAGCCCCACCCGTGGTGCACAGCAGATGCTCAACAAATACGTGTTGAATGAATGAAGGAACACACAATCTGGAGCTGGGGCCCACATGTCTCTTCTTCTTCTAGGATTGGAACGTCCATTAACATCTGACCCTTGCCCGCCCACCACATCCGTGGCATCTCTGTGCTCCAGAGAGGAAGCAGGTCTTGGGGTGCATCATGATTTCATCGTTCTTAGTGCTGGCCGTTGGTGCCTGCCTTAGCAACTCCTTAGTGCCAGGTAGGATTGGGGATCCGGGGTGGAGGGATGGGAGAGACCGGGTACAGGGGAAGGGTTGGGGGAGGGGAGCATGTATGTTCAAGGTCATAGAACCCTCTGAAGTACTTTGGAGTGGCAAGAGCCCTTCCACTGTGGGTGTTGTGTTGATGGGTCACTTGCCCTCTTTCTTCAATCCGCTCTTTAATCAACTAAGCTGCAACGAACCCCTATAATGATCCCAAGTCTATAGCTGCTGGGTCACCGTTGGTATTGTCTGCTGACGCTCCCTCGGGGCAGTGTGTCCCTCATGGGCTTTGTCATCCGTGCTCAAGGGCCCATCTTCCGCAGGCACCCTTTCTTCCCGGGTTCGGTGGACTCACCTGCACATGTCTAAACAGAGTTCAGGACCCTGGGAGGTCAACTCATGTTGAGTACATTCTTATGCTAATGTCTCAGTTCGAGGTTCTTACACTGTAAGTACACACCTTCCCAGAGACGTCGGAGGGTCGGAGTCACATTCTCATTGCCGGCTTTGTTTCTCAAACCATTGCTCCAAGGCCAATGTGTCCATGATAATGACTTCGAAACCAGCCCCAATCTGGCCTGACATCCCAAGAGTCCTCACCATCAGCTCCCCTCTGAGTCCCTCCCCATTTCTGTCTCCTGCCCCACCTCCCGCCCCTGCATTTCTTTCAAGCCCTCCTCTGTATTTGATTGTTTATTCCCCACCCCACTCCACCCCCGCATTCCTCTATCTGTCCCTGGAGAAGGGAGCCCTCTGGTACTTCGTCCCCTCTCACGGTCACCGAGCCTCCATCATTCCCATGGGAAGAGTAATTCCTCTCTGAGGGCTGTGAGCCATCTGCTTCCCTGATGACTGAGAGCCTTGGAAAGCGTACGGGGCGGGCAGTTCTACACTGTCCTATGGGGTCAGTCTGAGTTGGAATGAACTGAGTGGCTGTGGGTTTGTTTGGGTTTGGGACGAGTGTGAGGGGTCCGTGGGGCTGTCACTGTCTGGCAGGTAGTCGATGCTCAGAGAATGCCAGCCTTTCCTCTTCCCCAAACTGCTCACTGCCATCCAGTCAAAACCCACTAATAGTGGCCCGTGTGGACAGGGTAGCACTGCCTCTGTGTTTCCGAGACTGTAACTCTTTACGGAAAGAGAAAGCCCCGTCTTTCTCCCAAGGAGCAGCTGGTGGCTTCCAACAGCGGGCCTCGAGTAACCACTGTATCACCGAGCACGTAGCTAAGAGATGAGGAAATGAGGGTGTAGAGGGGAGATTGGCCCTCCTCGGTCTGACAGCCGGGCCGTAGCAGAGCCAGGGATAGAACCCCAGCTGTTGGAGGCCCAGGCTGACTGCTAATCCAGGATGCATTCCTGGGGACTCAGCATTACTCTGGTACAGGGTCTCTGACTTTGTGGTGGTCACACCCACCTGGGTGAAAGATTAGTAGATCAATTTTTTTAAAAAGTAGAAAAGAGGCAAAATGAAAAAAATCTTTCAATATTCAGCAATTCATTTTTTTCCACTTTCATCTTAGGGCATTCTGGTTTATGTGTAATATGATATTGCATTGTGAGTGTTCCCCCACACCCACCCCTTTAATGAACTATAACTTAAAATAATGTGCATGCATTCTGAATGTATCTTATGGTGGGCTTTCACATACATACACCCAGGGGTCGCTGAGTGGCTCAGTTTCCTCTGGACTAGTAACCAGAAGATTGGCAGGTCAAACCCACTCAGCAGTGCCACAGAATAAAGACCTGGTGACCTGCTTCTGTAAAGATAGAGCCAAGAAAATCACATAGAGCAGTCATGCTCTATAACCCAAGGGTCCCTATGAACCAGCGTTGAGGCAACAGCATCGGTCCCCTGCACCCACCCACCCCCACACCACAGTCTCTCTAACCACCCACTGCTTACAACCTCCATCCCGATGTGAGAACATATCATTCCTGGTCACGAGATGGCCCAAGACTTCCCTCTGCCCCTCCCAACCAATACTCCCATCCCCCACGCCAAAAGAAACAGCTAGGCTGGCTTTCTGGTCACCAAAGACTAGTTTTGCCTGTTTTGAACCTCATTTAACTGGAATCAGACTGTATGTACTGACAAGCACTCTTTCCACATAGCATTCTATCACAAGCATTTGCCCGTGCCATTTAATCGTCTGTAAAACAATGGCCTTCTGGGTATTCATGTGTCCAAACAAGCCGCCGCTGCTTAAACCAGTCGGTTGGCACGAGGTCAGTTTGACATCCACTGAACAGCGCCCTCCCCCCCACCCCCACTGGCCAGGCGCTGGGGTAGCCCTGGTGAAAAGACCAGGACTCTGCCCTCCTCAGATTCCCAATGGAGCAGGGAGCAAACACAGCTGTGACCCGGGCACCTGGTGTCGGAGCTCCTGGGCAGACACAGAGAAAGAGCGGCAGGTGCTGACATCAGCCAGCCCTGGCGTTTCGGCCAAGCTGCTAGGGGGCTGGGGGTTCATAGGCGGTCCCCACTCTGATGCACTGAAAGTAGGATGAAGCTGGGTCCAGCGCAGAGCCCATGGGCTCTCTGGCCACCACCAGCAGGCCTTATCTCATACCTTCTCTCCGTTCTCCTGGGCAGAAGCTCCAGGGCAGGAACTTGCTGAAAGGCACACAAAAGCGGAACTGAAGGGCCAGGCTCTCCAAATCCCCAGCTGGGAATGGGGGACGCCTGAGCAGACATGTCTGGACGAAAGAGGACAGCAGGACCCTGCTGGAGTGGAGGCAGGGAGTGAAAGGAGCGGCGGTGGGAGTGCAGGGAGAGGACTCTTGCCCACCACACGTGGCTGTGAAGGAAGGCGACAGGGGTCTCCTGCAGGAACAGCAGCGGGAGTGTGGATGGGCCCCAGGCGTGAGGAGGAGGCAGCTGTCTTGCTTCTCCTCACCTTGAGGCAGGGGCTGGGCTTCCTTCTTGCTGGCCGTAGACGTGTGCGGGAGTTGTGAGTCCTTTGGTTTCTTCTGGCATCGTGTGGAAGGGATCATGATTGTGGCTGTTAGCTGCCCTCACGTCCCTTCTGACCCAGGGCCACCTCTGCACAACGGAACAAAACGCCATCTGGTCCTGGGCCAGCCGCACCTGGGCTGCTAGGCCCAGTCCATTGTGGCGGCCGCTGTCGGTCCATCCGCTTCCTCTTTGATGCTGACCGAACATGGTGTCCTTGGCCAGGACTGGTCCCTCCTGACCACATGTCCACAGTACAGAAGATAAAGTCTCCTCACCCTCAATTCTAAGGAGCATTTCTGGAGGTCCCTCTTCCAAGACAGGCTTACCCGTCTTCTGACAGCCCGTGGTGCTCCCGATCTCCTTTGCCAACACCATAACTCAAATGCCTCCGAGCCTCGGGGTTTGCTTTCTCACCTGCAGTTTTCACACGCATACAAGGTGATGGGAAGTACCGTGGCTCCAGGTGGCCGCACCTTAGTCCTCAAAGTAAGAAAGGGGAACAAAAAGTAAAGCAAAGGAACGTCTTTGTTTTTTGAACTTTTTTAAAAAGAACATTTTATTGGGGGCTCTTACAGCTCTTATAACAATCCATACATCAATTGTACCAAACATATTTGTATATAAGTCGCGATCATTGTTTTCTAAACATTTAGATTCTATTTGAGCCCTTGGTATCAGCTCCTCTTTTTAACATTTTAAAGCGGTCTTTTGCCCGAGGCAATGCACCGTTTGATCTCCTGACTGCTGCTTCCAGGGCACTGACTGAATCCAAGCAAGAACACCTTGACAGTGCCCATCTTTTCTCCATTGCTCATGGTGACGCTTCTGGGTCTGGTTGTGAGGAGTCTTGCTTTCTTTGCATTGAGCTGGATTCAATGCTGAAGACTGTCTCCTTTGATCCGCATCAGTAAGTGCTTCCAGTCCTCTCTGCTGTCAGCAAACCAGGTTACATGGTCAGCATATTGCTGGTTGTTAATGAGCCTTCCTCCAATCCAAGCTCTTCACGCAGTTCCCAGATGGTTTGCGCCGCATATAGACTGAATACAGATGGTGAAACGATGTGATCTGGACTGACATTTTTCCTGATTTAAAACCGGGCCATCTCTGCTTGCTGTGTTCAAATGAGAATGGCCCATGCACTTCGGCCTCTTGGTCTATGTACGAGTTCTGCAGGCCCATGATCGAATGTTCCAGACTATCCATTCTTCACAATGTTATCTATAATCCGTTACAGGCAACACACATCTAATGTCTTTGTATGGTCCATAGAGCACAGGCAAACCTCTCTCTGGCGTTCTCCGCTTTCAGCCAAGATCCACCGGACATCAGCAAAGATAGCCCTTCTTCCACATCCTCTTCTGAAGCTGGCTAGACTTTCGGGCAGCTCCCTGTCAATGTACTGCAGCAGCAGGTTTTTTTGTGTGTGTGTGTGTGTGTTATCATCTTTATTAAAAATTTTAGAAAATATTGGATAATACATTTCAAAATTCCTATATTTTGATGAGGTAGTAAAATAATATTTCTATATAAAAATTATAAAATTTTTGTATAAAGATGTCATCAGAAAATTGAGTAGAAATTAAAGAGCCTAGTACACTATTCATGAGTGATAAAGCTTTTCCATAATTCCTAAGGCTTCTCTGCACTGTGGGTCTCATATACAGTGAAATTTGAGGATTCACCCTACCTGTCCCCAGATTCTTTACATTCACAAGTCTTCTCACCACTGTGCATTCTTGTATGTTTACTGATCTGTGAGGAGGGACTAAATTATTTTCCACATTTGTACTCTCATAAGGCCTCTCTCTACTGTACATGATCATGTCAATTGAAGTTACTAAATTAAGGAAAAGTGTTTCCACACGCCTTACATTCCCAAGACCTCTCTCCATTGTGAATTCTCAGGTCAACGGAGTTGTGAGGATTGCATAAAAGTTTTCCCACATTCCTTACATTCACAAGGCCTCTCTCCACTGTGAAGTCTCATGTTGATTTAAGTCTGAGGACTGACTAAAGGTTTTTCCACAGTCGTTACGTGGATAAGACCGCTCTCCACTGTGAACTTTCATATGTCTACTGAGGTGTGCGGGTTGAATGAAAGTTTTCCTGCAGTCCTTACTTGTGTGAGGCCTCTCTCCACTGTGAATTCTCATACGTTGATTTAAGTGTGAACACTGACTAAAGGTTTTTCTACATCCGTTAACATTCATAAAGCCTCTCTCCGCGATGAATTTTCATATGTAGATTGAGAGCAGAAGATTGAGTAAAAGTTTTCTTACATTCTTTACATTCATAAGGCCTCTCTCCACTGTGACTTAATTCTCCTAGGCTGACTGAGGCTAGCCGAGTGAGTGAAAGGTTTCTAACACTCTCGGATGTTGGTTGCAGCGTGGGAATAAAAGCCTTCCCACGGTACTGACCGTCATTACAGACTTAGCTCCACTGGAGATTCCCATGTCATCTGTGAGTGTTGAAGGATCTCCAAAGACTGTACCACAGTCTTTATATTCACAGCGCTTGTTTCCTGTTAGAAATTTTACTGGAGTGTACATATTGCTTTTTGTTATGTGTGGCAAATCTGCAGCGAGGGCTGCTGGGCCCAAGGTCAAGGAAGCAGAGAGCTGAGTCTTCCCTCAAGCAACGCAGGCAGAATCCTCCACAGGCAGCAAACAGCAGGGTGGGAACCAACAGTCAGCAGCGATGGAACCCAGGTTGAGATAGTTCTCCGACATCACATCCTGATATAGCATCTTCTGAGCGGGGTTCAGGAGCGGCCATTCCTCCCAGGTGAACTTTACAGCCACATGGTTGAATGCCAGTGATTCCCTCGTGGGACGCTCAGCCTGCACCTTCTCAGTCCAGCAGCAGTTTTTTTTTATTGTCTTCAGTCAAACTTGACTTGTGTCGCCCAACATTAACGATATTGTTGGTGATTTCCAGAGTCTTTGGAGCCACCCCCTTCTTGGGAACAGGCAGAAAAAGGGATTCCCTCTAGTCACTTAAACAAGCACTGTCTTCCAAATTCCTTAGCATGGATGAGAGACTGCGCCGAGCGCCACACTCATTTGTTGAAGCAACTCAGTTGGTTTCTCACCAATTTCTTGTTTTCCACCAGGGCCTTCGGTGCAGCTTGGACTTCTTCCTTCAAGGCCATCAATTCTTTTTTTTTTAAATCATTTTATTGGGGACTCGTACAACTCTTATCACCATCCATATACCCATCCATTGTGTCAAGCACATTTGTATATTTATTGCCATCATCATTCTCAAAACATTTGCTTTCTACTTGAGCCCTTGGTATCGGCTCCTCATTTTTTCCCCTCACTCCCCCACACTCCTTCCCTCATGAACCCTAGATAATTTACTTATTTTGTTGTCATCTTACACTGTCCGATGATTCCCTTCACCCACTTTTCTGTTGTCTATCCCCCCTGGGAGGGGATTATAGGTAGATCATTGTGATCGGTTCCCCTTTTCTCCCCCCACCTTCCCCTTCCCCTCCTGGTATTGCTACTCTTATTATTGGTCCCGAGGGGGTTATCTGTCCTGGATTCCCTGTGTTTCCAGTTCCTATCTGTACCCGTGTACATCCTCTGGTCTAGCCAGATTTTTAAGGTAGAATTGGGGTCATGATAGGGGGGAGGAAGAAGTTTTAAAGAACTAGAGGAGAGTTGTATGTTTCATCGTTGCTACACTGCACCCTGACTGGCTCGTCTCCTCCCCGCGGCCCTTCTGTAAGGGGATGTCCTGAAATAGGGGAACGCTGGCCAATTCTTTTTGGTCCTGGGACTGTGTGTTCCTTCCATCTTCCCTTGTTCAATATTTGACCCTGGAATCCTGCCAGATTTCCGCCTGAGGCTCGGAGCGTCCTGTCAGAAGCGCTGGATGGGGTCTTCCCTTGGTTTTCTGAACTCTGCTTACACTTTGCTTGTGCTTCACTCGGTCTTCCGGAACCACCTGTGGCGCCTCTGGTCAGCTCTCCCACTCCACCCACCACGGGGAAGCCGCTCTGCGGGCGCTCTCGGCACCCTGGCTCGCAGCAGGGCGTGCGTGAGGAAGGAGAGCTCCTCCCTGAGCAGGGCCAAGGGGAGGAGCTGTGTCCTCGGCCCACCCACATGCAAAGTGACCTTGGGCAAGACACCTCCCACATCTCCTGGCCTCAGTATTCCCTTCTGTGCAATGGAAGGCCATGGAAAAGCATAGCTCCCCACGTGGCCTCCAGTTCCAGGCTCCCATGGACAGGAATCCCAGGCCTCTGCTAGGAGGGCAGAGCTTCCAGCCCTGAGGGAAGAATTATGGGGAGGCGGGTGTGGAGAGGCTATCCACTCTGCTCCCTTCCTCTGAGCCAGGCATGCTCCTTGCCTGATCCAATTCAGTCCTCACAACAACCGTAACCCCGTTTGACAGGAGAGGAAACTGAGGCTGAGGAGGTAATGTGCCCAGGGTCACACCGCTGGCACTTGGCATGGCCTGGGTCTTCATTTTCATTTTAATCCGCTGGCTCTGTCAGATTCTTTGCACGGGCAGGCTGACTGCTGGGCCTCACATACACGAGTGAGCGAAGGGGGTGTCTCTGGCCCTGGTGTTAGCCTCAGACTGTAAAGTGCTGCCCAGGGGAAGTTTTGATTAGGATGAACGATGGATTCGGAGGCCGGGACATGACATGACCCCCTGCCTATCACTCCTGGCCTATCAGGAGTGAGATCCCAAGTGGCTCAAGTGAGGCAGGGGGGTAAGAATTGCTGAAAATGAGAGGGACTGCTTAAACTCGACACTTCACAGAAAAGGCAAGTCTTGCTTGGCCACACTGCTCGTCACACGGCTCTGTCGAGTTCGTGCTGAACCTGCATTAATGGCTAAGCCGAGCAGAGTTTATAATTGATGGCTGGGTACATCTGGGGATCCCTGCACTTGGAAGGAGTCAGATCCCTCAGAGAGGTTAAATATTACCCTTCTCGGTGTGCTGGCACAAGTCGTCTGCTGCCTTGGCAGAACCTCCCTCTCACCTGAGTCGGAGGAAAGCCCAGCTCCGCCGGTGTCTGCCAGTGCTGTGTGGCCTTGGCCCAGTTGCTTAGTGTCTCTGTTTCTTCAATCTACGATGTGGCTCACAGGCTTGTTTGGAGGAGTTGACCAGTGTAATGTTTGTAAGCCGTCAGATAGGCAACTATGGCGTCTTTCTCCATGTCAAGGGTGCTCAGCCCTCCCCTGTGAGGTGTTGGGGTGTCCCTTAGTCAAAAGAAGGGAAGCCATCCCTACCCTGCCGACTACTCTGCTATTCTCGTGTACAGAGAAAGAGAAAGACCCCAACTACTGGCGCGTCCAGGCTCAGCAGACCCTGAAGAATGCCTTGGAACTCCAGAATCTCAACACCAATGTGGCTAAGAACGTCATCATGTTCTTGGGAGACGGTGAGCCTTGGGGGGCGGAGGGAGGGTCTCGGGTGGTAGGGCCTGGAAGGCATGGGAGGGACCAAAAAGTCTGCTCTTCCTGGGAGTCCCCTGAGCACCACCATTTTCCAGAGCCACCTCTGGTACCCACTACTCAAGCCTGCCTTGGCACCAAACTAACCTCTGTCCCTCAGGGTTATGGGAGCAGGGAGCCATAGAGACAGAGCCCCTCCAATCCCCACTGCAGGCATGGGCGTTTCCACGGTGACAGCCGCCCGCATCCTCAAGGGCCAGCTCCACCACAGGCCTGGGGAGGAGACCAGGCTGGAGATGGACCACTTCCCCTTCGTCGCCCTTTCCAAGGTGAGCCCACCCTGGCCGCAAGCTCACCCCTCAACACGACAGCGTGGGGTGGAAGGCAGAGGCATGGTGTCCTCTAGACGGGGCTCAAACTCTCATATCCTGTCAGCTGCCTGGCTCCCGGGGGCCCTGCTGTCTGCAAGTCCAGCTCATGAACAAACAAAGCCACTTTGCATTACAGTGTGCTATTAACATCCATTGAATCAGCGCCCCCTCCTGGTGACCCCTTGGGCAAAGTGTTACCCAGTCCTGCACAAGCCCCCTCATTGGTTGCAGCTCTGGAATGAGCCAGCATGTTTTCATTGGCTGGTTTTCAGTAGTAGCGTGCCAGACCTTTCTCCCTAGCCTGTCTTAGTCCGAAAGCCGTTCCACATCAGAGCGGCCTGCAAGCCTCCACTGACAGACAGGCGGTGCACTGGCCAGGCATCGAACCCAGGTCTCCCACATGACAGGCGAGCATTCTACCCACGGAGCCACCACTGTCTCATTAAGTAAAAGATGGCATCGTGTACTTAAAAGGGCATAGGTAGTCTATAGTTTGAATTTTCACAAGGTCAACATACCTGTCTACCCATCATCCAGATCAATATACTGAACGTGACAGCAGCTGGGGGTCCCCTCAAGCCCCTCTGGCCTACCCCCTCCCCACCAAGAGTCACTGCCCTCCTGCCTTCTCACAGCAGAGGCGCGCTGGGCCTGCCTCTGTGCACTGTGTAAATGGAAACACCAGCCGGTGCGTTTATACTCGGGATTATTTGTGCGCCAGCCATGGAGCTCCGGTGGCATCGCGGTTACACTTTGGGCTGCTAACTGCAAGGTCAGCAGTTTGAAACCACCAGCCACTCGGAGATGAAGCTTCTACCGCAAAGACGTGCGGACTTGGAAACGGCCCTACAGGGTTCCTGTGAGTCGGAATAGGCTCTATAGCAGTGAGTTTTGGTCGTTGTATTTCGTGCATCTCTCCTGAGGTGGTTCGGGAGAGGAATCAGATCACTGATGTAAAGTGTTGGAGGCAGTACACACGCAGCGGTAGCTCTCGCTTTTGGTGGTGATGGGGTGACAGCAGGTCCCGTAGACACTCAGGGTCTGGCCCCGGCGCACTGCTTGGGAAATAGCAGATGCAGCAGTCATAGTTGTGTGTGTGTGTGTGTGTGTGTGTGCGCGCGCGCCTTCTAGTTGCTCACAGGGGGGTCCTGGTGGCACAATGGGCAAACGCTCAGCTGCTAGCCCGAAGTGGCCAGTGTCAGCGCATCGTGTGCCCCGTGGGAGAAAGCTGTAGTGGCTGCTTCTGTAAAGATACAGCCTCGAGCCCCCGCGGGGCAGCTCGACTCTGTCGTGTCAGGCTGCTGTGAGTCAGAATCGGCTCAGTAGCTGCGAGTTTCAGCAGTTCTCTACCTGTGGAAGTCTTTTCACAGTTCCTCGCCACCACATGGGGAACTGTTTTAAAGGGTCGCGGCATTAGGAAGGCAGAGAACCACTGCTCTATATCCCAACTCCCCTTGCTGCTCCCCCTTTTCCCAGTCCCCTGACTCCTCCCTCTTTATGACTGCCCCCTCCCCAAGAGTGACCTCAACCAACCCAGCTTGCTCCCCACTCCCTTCTCCTCCACCAACCCTCTCTTCTATGCAGATTGGAGAGCCAGGTTCTGGCCCCTTCCTGCCTCCTCATGGCTGCCTGGGCACAGGGCAGGAAGCAGACAGCCTGTTGGTCCTCGGCGGGGGAGGTGGGGAGGCCTCAGAAGGTCGTACCCGTGTAGTGCAGGGGTGGGCAGTAGTGTGGGGGCAAGGCCTGGCCATCTCCTGACTCCTTTGTCGCCTGCAGACATACAACACCAACGCTCAGGTCCCCGACAGCGCAGGCACTGCCACCGCCTACTTGTGTGGGGTGAAGGCCAATGAGGGCACCGTGGGGGTGAGCGCAGCGACTGAGCGCTCCCAGTGCAACACCACTCAGGGGAACGAGGTCACGTCCATCCTGCGCTGGGCCAAGGACGCTGGTGAGTGAGGTTCTCCATAGGTAGCGGGATCCAGCTCTGTGAACTGCCCGGGCCCCAGTCTTTCCAACTGTACAATGGGGAGGCCGTGGAGAAGATGCTCTCCTGGACGCTTCCAGCTCTGATGTTCCGGAAGTCAGTGAACTACTCATCAAACCCCTCCCATGAGGTAGGGAAGTCTAGTGGTAGGGGTAGGTTCTAGTCTTAGCTCAGCCATTGACCAGCTGAGTCCCCAAGCAGACAGCCTTATTTCTCTAAGTCCCTGGGTGGTGAAAATGGTTCACGCACTCAGTTGCTAATCAAAAGGCTGGTGATTCAAGACCCCATAGAGGTACCTTGGAAGAAAGGTACGCCTGGTGATCTGCTTCCAACAACCGGCCTTTGGAAACCCTCCTCTGATACACATGGGTGGCCATGAGCTGGGCTTGACTTAATGGCAACTGGTTAGCTGATGCTTCGTGTGATGGGGCAGGAAATGGGCATGGAAAAGCAGCCCCCTCGAAGGTGGGGTGTGAGGAGGCAATGAGATGTTGTATATAGAGATCCTCACCCCACTCCTGACCCTCCTCCCTAGAGGAGGGTGGACCTGGAATTGGGATGACCTGGCCCTTACCTCAGGAACTGGTGACTCAGGGTGCAAGGCGGATTCACCCAAGCGATCCTACCTGGGGCTCCTTGGGAGGGGCTTGTGGGGGTGGGCTGCTTCCCAGAGGAGTGGGGTTCTGCTGCGTCTAACCCAGGGGCTCACAGCTCTGGGATCCACAGCACAAGAGGGTCACAGGCATTTGGAAGCCACACCCTTTGTCCATAAGGGGAGACTGAGGCCCAGGCACTGGGAATGTTGGGAAGCCAGTCTTTGGCTGGGAGAAGGAGGTAGCTTAGACACCCGCGTGTCCGACATGGTCAACCCCCCTCTGGCCCTCAGGCAAGTCTGTGGGCGTCGTGACCACCACCCGAGTGAACCATGCCACACCCAGCGCTACCTACGCCCACTCCGCCGACCGGGACTGGTACTCGGACAACGAGATGCCCCCGGAGGCCCTGAGCCAGGGCTGCAAAGATATTGCCTACCAGCTCATGCACAACATCAAGGACATTGAGGTGAGGCGGACTGGGGCAGCCCGGGGACAGGGCTCATGAGCGGGTTGCCTCACGCCCGGGCTGGCCTGGGACAAGCTGCTTGGTCTAGCTGCCCACACACCTGGGAGGACTCCCCACCCTGAGGGGATTTGTGGCTGGAGCAGGGAGGCACTGGGGGATTTAGCTGTGGTTGGGCTGGGGGTGAAGGCCCCAGAGCCAGACGCCAAGGGATTATTGCAAGCACTGGAAACTGGTGTGGTGGCCCCCTCAACCCGGGAGCTGTGGGGGGCAGGGGGGATTATAGGGGATTATATTCCCACAGGCAGAGACAGCAGGTGTCTCACACATTCAAATGCACTTGGGAAGGAGGTGATGTGAACGATGGTGAGTGGATGCTCTCGTTGTGAACAGCAAGCCTTGGCGTCGTGGACCTGCTGTTTGCTGGCTGCGGGGGCTTCGGTCGGTGACTTGACCTCTCTGAGCCTCATTTTGCCCCTTTGGGAAATGCGCTCACCTCCATACCCCCATAGCAAGAAGGAAAGAATGTTCCTTCTACAGAGAGTTCAGCACCCTTCAAGGGTGCCCAGACAGTGGTAGTGTTCCTGCGTGAGACGTGTGTCCCTGCTCCAAGACACGCACATTACATACCAAGCACGCCCGGGCACGCAGGCATAGCATGCATCCCGAGGACCTTGTCCCCCTGATGCACAGACAAGTCCCAACTCTGGGCTCTGAACGAGGAACTTCTGGCTTGTTCCCCGCTGCTGGCTGGAATGAGGGTAAATGGCAGGGTGGTAGGGGATGTAGAGCCCCTGAACCTTAAATGGGGGCTCACTGAGGCTCAGAGAAAGCCCCCAAGCCCCAGACACCCGCACCACTGTTTCTCCCCACCACCAGCCCTGCCTTTCCCCTCCTCCTGTGACCTTCCCCCCAATTTCTAAGTGCCATCTAATGCCACCTAGTCCCTCTACCAACCCATGTCTTCCCTCTTCCAAGCTGTGGATCATGGACCACCTTGGAGGACAGAACCCCATCAAACCTGCTCAGCCAGCAACTCTTTGAGGCCAAGTCACCCCATCCTAGAGTGTGCTCCCCTCCCCACCTGTGTGATAAGGCAGAGAGCCCCACCTGCCCCCTCCTCCCCGGGGCCCTTGGAGAGCACTGTGAGGTCATGGATGTGAGAACATGTGTTGGACAAACCCAGGGTGTAATTACGGGGCTGATCCTCAGAGACATTTGGCAGACAGCGCCTGAACTGGGGGACCGGAGCCTGAGGGGGGAGGCTTTCCAGCTGGGGGCAGGTAGGGGGGTCACTCGGGGAGGAGGAGGGAGGGAGGAAGATGTGGGAGGCCTTTCCTCCCCTTGTTCTACGCTCCCTCCTCTCACCCTTTCTGCCCCCACCGCACCTCCCCCTTCACCATCCCTGCCCAAAGCCCCTCAGTCCCCAGGCTGTCCGTTCATGAAACACAAATCCTGGTGTCCGCCCTGAAAATAAATAGCTTCTGCTAAAAAAGAAGAAAGAACGAGAAAAGACACTAACCCAAACCCCAAAGCCAAACAGCCGCTCTGTTATTTGGGAGGTTAATGAGCCCGTGTGAAGGCCCTTTGGGGCCAGAAGCACTGCGGCTCCCGCAAGAAGATTGGGGGCTTCCCTCCCCACCCTGGAAATGCCAAGGGGCCAGGTTCTGTGGGAACAGGGGGTGGGGGCAGGGTGCGGGCAGTGACCTGGGGTCCTCTTCTTCTACACGGCCTCCCCTGGCCCCCAGAGCTCAGGGCTGGAGCTCGAGCAAGGAGCTTGCCCCTCAGGAGTATTTGTGTTTCTACTTCTCCTGGCAGGGAGCCTGGCTCCCAGAGTCCCCTCAGAGCCACCAGTACTGTGTGGAATAGCTCTATGACGGGTCAAGGTGGGGCTTCAAAAATTCGTGGAAAAATTCCATTCTCGTCATTCTGTTTTTTTCCACGAACCTTTCATCCTGAAGGCCCCTCCTCTCTCCTCCCGGTGACTACTTGTGGTAGTAGGGGTGCTTCCACCCCACAGGCATGGAATCTGAGGTTCTGTAATGGGTTCAAGAACTGACATAGCCAGGATTCAAACCCTAGCCCCTGCCCTGCCCTGCACCCCTGGTCTGGCCTCCAGGTCCCCTCTCTGCCATGCAGACCCCAGGTGATGAGGCGGGGAATGGGGCGCAAGGCAGAGAAGAGGCTGTGAAGCACCAGGCCTGGAGACTGTGGTGCTGGGGCCAGCCCAGCTGGGCTCTGCTCTCCCAAGGTGTCGGCCAGGGTCAGTGGCCTGGGCTGGAGCCCACGGTGACAGGAGGACAGCAGTGTGGTGGTCACCGCGGGCGGCAGCTGTTTTGCTCTTGGCCCCCATTTTTAAAATAGCCGGGACTTCAAACATGGGCTCCCAAGGAAAGCAAACAGCCCCACGTCCATCCGCCCGCACACGCCAGCCGGGTGGGTAAAATTAGCCTGGCCCTGATTACACAGACAGGGAGGCCGGCCCCACTGTTTGCCCAGCCTGCGGCAGGCCAGCTCCCAGCTGACTGCCCCAAGACCTCCCTGGCAGAAGAGCCTTGCCCTCAGAGGGCTCCTTCGGCGGGCACCAGGGTCAGAGAAGCCCTGGGTTCGAATTTACTAGCTAGCCTGGGGGATAGAAGCCACTTTCTTGGTTGGTGCCATGATGTGCGGCTGTGCCGTGCAGTGGGCTGTGCACCACCTCAGCACCTAGGACCTGGCCTTCTGTGGACACAGTGGGAGCCGGTTGGAAGTCCAGTTAACGGAGGCTGCTGGGGGGTTGGGGGATCCTGCTGTGGTGCAAACCCTTAACACTCGGCTGCTAATTGAAGGGCTAGGGGTTCAGGTCTGCCAGAAGTGCCTCTGACGAAAGGACTGACAGCCTGTCTCCAAAAACGCGCCCCTGATAGCGGTGGAGTTCAGCTCTAGTGAAGTTCAGCTCTAGTGGAGTTCAGCTCTAGTGGAGTTCAGCTCTAGTCTGACGAGTGAGGTACCTGGAGTGACAATGGCCACAGGTTGGCGGGAGCTTAGGGAGCTCAGGTCAGAGCCCAAGCCACAGCCCTGGGACACTCTTGACTCCATGCTGGGGGTCAGCGGGAAGTTGATTTTCCCTCCCAGGCGGGCAAGGTCAGGGAGGGCAGACGGACTGGACTCACCAGGCGGTCAAATGTTCCCACCACCCCCAGAGCCCAGCTGTCCAGATGCCCTGGGACATCAGGGCACACTGATGGCTCCTGTCCCCTTCAGGTGATCATGGGGGGTGGCCGGAAGTACATGTTCCCCAAGAACAAAACAGACGTGGAGTATGAGATGGACGACAAGGCCAGGGGCACGAGGCTGGATGGCCTGAACCTCATCGACATCTGGAAAAGCTTCAAGCCGAGACACAAGGTACTGCCTCCAGGACCAGAGGGCCACTGCACCAGGCCGTGGGGGTGCTCTCTCCTGGGCCATCGTAGGCAATGGAGCAGCTCCTCCCAGGGCGCTGGGGGGAGGGGGTGGCGGGCAGGTATTAGAGAGGGCTAGGGGGCCGTCAGGGTGGGGAGAGTAACCTGAGCGGCTTTTCTGACTGTCTGAGCACCTACTGTGTGCGGGGCCTTGGCTGGGCAGCAGGACCAAGGGGGAATCAGGTGGGGCTGGGACTTGAGCGTGGATGCCCTGAAGCCCAGGGGAGGCCGGGAGAAGTCCCAGGAGGGCCTCTAGCCCTACACACGCACCAGGAGGGGCTGGAGAACCCCCCGGTGGAGGAGGGAGGCGGTGGGGCGAGGCCGAGGCAGGGGCAGGTAGCTGCAGTGGCAGCAGCTGGACGGCCCAGTGGACTGCTGGGGGGAAGCCTGAGCTAGTGCTCCCTTTAACCAGAGCATAGCGTGGCGGGGGAGTCCGGGGGCGTGGGAATGGCCCTTTAAATCCGTGGCACGGGGCGGCTGGGGTCTGGAAATGACTGTGGTCAGGGCTGAGAACAGTGGGGAGCAGTCTGGCAGCCACTTTGATGTCACTCTGGGGTTGGGTTTCTGAGGGCTTCAGGACTAGCCCTCAGGGAGGCCTTGTGGGATGGGGCTGGGCCAAGAGCCTGGTGCAGACAGGCCTCAGGAATGGCCCCATGGGGTGAGGTGGGGTGGGGTCCTGGGTGGCTTTCAACCCTTTCCCTTTCTTCTGACTCAGCACAGGCTCCCAGGAGCTGCATCTGGCCCACTCCCAGGGGACACTTCCCCTCCCAGCCTCAGTTTCTCCATGTGAAAGTGGGGCAGGGTGCTGTCCCTAGAGTTGTTAGGACAGTGTTGTAGCGTCCCAGATAGGCCACACATCCCGAGAAGCTCATTTCTTAAGAGTGGGTTGAACTTGGACTACTTCCTCACTGCATCCTGTGTGCCTTAGTGCCCTCATTAATGATCATCATAACTGTGTCTCCCTTGTGGTGCTGACGTGAGGCTGAAATGAGACAAGGCAGGAGAGCCTCTTCAGTGATGTAGGGATCCATCCCGAGCCTCACTTTCTAAGGACGCAGAGCTGAGCCTTGACCTTGCCGGGAGCCCGAGGCCGGGCCCTGAATGGTGCCATTACCAGATGTGCCAGCCCACCACTTCCTGTGGTCTCCATGCCCTGTGGAAGCCCCACTTCCTCCCAGCCTCCTTGGCTTCCTCCATGGGTCTCCATGACTCCCAGACACACAATTCATACCCCTTAGCAGGCACCCCAAGCCCCTCATGACCTCATGCCCCTACTTTTGGCTGCGGCCCTCCTCCTCCACTTTGGAACACTTGGGTCCCAGGTAGAACATCACCGCCACCAGGAAGCCCTGAGCCCTGCATCTGGACTCTCCCTACCAAAGCTGTCAGCCGCACCCCGGAGGGTTCGTCCACTGCAGAATCAATTGCCTGCTGACTAGTGATTTCTTGAGATCAGCCAGAGTAGGTCTCCGGAGAGGGATTGTTAACCGAACGAAGAAATAAATGCGCTCCTCCTCCCGGCTCCGCCCCCCCCCGCCCCCCCAGAGTGCTCACCCAGTCCCTTCCTTCTAGCATGCCCACTACATCTGGAACCGCACTGAGCTCCTGGCCCTTGACCCCCGTGCTGTGGACTACCTCTTGGGTAAGTAAGTGGGGTGGGAGCTGTGGAGGACATCCAGTGGAGTCTTCAAGGCCAGGGCTGAGTGAGTCAGATTTGGGGTGAGGCCGCAGCAGCCCCCCAACCCTGTCCTCCCTTTGCCCTTGGGCTCCAGACTGTGGGAAAAGTCAGGACAGAGGCCGGGGATCAGATGGCTGTGCAGTGTGACTCACACCTCAGGCAAACTCGCGAGGAAACCAGAGAGGCAGAGGAAGTCTGGGCACGGCACACAGCTGATCATGGCGTTATGACCCAGGCAAGCCCCACCCCGGGCTGGCAGCTGGGACTGAACTTCTCCTGGGCTGTGGAGAGGGCTCTGGAGTCTATTCTTTGGTGCAACCAGGGCGAGAAGCCAGGATGTTGTCCCTGGCAGTCCTACCAGGGGTCTGCCAGGCTTGAGAGGCCAAGCCCCTGGCACTACCTGCCGTGCAGACACCTAGGTCCTCTCCCCAACTGGCTTGGTGCCCATACGTGGCAGCAAATGCCTCCCTGGGGGCACAGCTCCCTGGTTCTGGGTGTGTCACCGATGATTATGGGCTCAGAGCCCGGTGCCCGGAGGATCCCCAAACAAGCACGTGCGCGTGCACGCGCGCGTGCACACACACACACACACACACCCTTCTGCTTGCCTGGGTCCCGCAGACTGTGGCCCCACCACACACAGAGCCAGGCCCGTCCTGCAGCATACCCAAGCCCACTGACGGAGCTCAAAGCCAGAGCAGCAGGTCTGATCCAGCTCAGCCACCATTGAGAGACTGGCAGTGGCTCAGTGACTTCTCTCTGTGGCTCCGTAAGAATAATGACCCGTCTGTCACAGGAGCACAGACAGGATCCACATCAGGATGGTCGTGAGGATGAAGTAAGCTAATCCACGCTGTAAATGATCTCTTCTTGTGTAACACATTCCCCCCGGTTTCACGATTTGGAGCGAGTGCTGTTAGTTCCGACTCCGTGATATTGCGTTCCACAGAATGAAACCCTGCTCTATCCTGGACCTTCTTCACGACCATCTTCACCATGTCAATCCATTTCATCGCAGTTCTTGGTCTTGCTGACTCTCATGACAATCCTGACGTGGGATCCTGTCTTTGATCCCATGTTACAGATGACATACACGCTTCCAAGACTCTATCCCTTCTGATAAAATGTGTCCAAATCTTGACATCCTCTCCTCTGAGGAGCATTCTGGCTGTACTACTTTGAAGGCCTGGCATCCTGGCCCTATAACGCCGAGCGCGATGTTTTCGTAACATTTAATTAAATGTATATATTAATATATATATTGATAGCTATGAAAGTAAAGAATAAAAACAAAAAAAATTTTCCCCTGAAATTAAAAATTCAGGCATTATAGGGCTAGGACATATGCGATATTTTTGCCAACACCATGATTCAAAGGCATTGATTCTTCTCTGGTCTCCTGTTGCCGTTGTTCAGCGTTCACATGCGTGTGCGACTATGGAAAATCGCATGGTTTAGGTCAGGTGCACCTTAGTCCTCAAAATGACAGCTTTGCCTTTTAACACTTCTAGTAGGTCTTTTACCGTAGATGTATCCGATCCACCCTGGCATTTGATTTCTTGACCCTGCTTCCAAGTCAAACGCAATCCCTGACAACGCCGGTCTTGGCGCTGCTAATTGGCACAGTTGCTGTGGTTTTTGTCTCCCTCGTGCGGAGGCATAATCCACACTGAAGGATGGACGGGCTTCGATTGTCCTCAGTAAACGTTTCAAGTGGTCTTCCTTTTCCGCAAGCAAGAATGCTCGGGGAGTTTGCTCAGTGTACAGATTGAATGAGTCTGGTGGAAGAGTACGACCCTGACACACAGCTTACCTGATCTGATGGCACCCAGTCTCCCTTTCTTCTGCTCAGTCGAATGACTCTTGGTCTATGGACAGCTTCCGTCCAAATGGGCAGAATGAAGTGTTCTGGAATTCTCCATTTTTGCAATGTTATCCATAATACATGCTCCACAGAATCAGATGCACACGGCCAAATGTCTGTGCATAGTCACTAGAGCACAAGTACACATCTTTCAGGGCTTCTAAGCTTTAAGACAAGGTCATCAGCAGGATCTCTCATTCCATGTCCCCTTCTAAGTCCAGCTTGATGTTCTGACCAGTCCCTGTTAATATACCAGTGCAATTGTTTTTTAAACATTTCTTCATGCTTATACTCATTAGTTCCCCGTTTCCCCGCAACCTCCCCTGCCATAACCCTAAGAAACTATTAATCCAGTTACTGTCTTTATAGATTTCATAGACAGAAAATCATATCATAAAAAATGAATATCAAAATAAAACAAAGAAAAACCTCAATCCAAAAGAAAAGGTGGAGGGGACTAGAACAAATTTAAAGTGGAGAACAAATGATAAGATGTTAAACTTTAACCTAACTACATCTACATTAATCAGGAGGCTTAATTCATGTGGTGACTCTGCAAATGAGTTTGGGGTTTTCATTGTCGTTTATTGCCTTCTGCAAACTGGGTGCTCAGAATTTGAGCTCTAATACAATTCCTTCCTCCAGTCTTGGATTATTTTATTATTATTATTTTAGAATTGAATAATCTTTTTAATTACTACTTCTTAAAAATGTTTAGTCATAAAGTGTGTTTTTTTAACATTTTATTGCCGGACATCAATTGTGTCAAGCACAAGATATATGCTGCCATCATCATTTTGTAGGTATTTATTTTCTGTTGAGCCCTTGGTGTCAGCTCCTCTGGATTTTATGATTTACAGTCCTTGGATCACAAAGGCTAGTATACTGCTTCCATATGACCTTAGCTGACACCTCAGGTGGTGGCTTGTTTTAAGACAAGCCTTTAAGACCTCAGAAACTATTCTTTCTGCTAGTTGGGCACCATCTAGTTTCTTCACCACACTTTGCTATAGCACCCATATCGTCAGTGATCTCTTCGTGAGGACAAGTATTGAGAAGGGCCATATGATGAGAACGAATTGTTCTTAGATTAGGGCTTACAGCTAAATGCAAGCTCCAAATCCTTTCATTGTGTGTCAGTTTATATAGATCCCTGATCCACGTTAGAAATATGATTATCATTTTATTGGGGAACATTAATAATCTCCATGGGTAAAATTGCCCTGTTATTGATCATATGCTACCTCCTAAAGAAGGCTGAACATTGGCTAATTCTTCTTTATACAGCGACTGTGCATTCCTTCCATCTTCTTTTGATGTGTCCTGCAGCATTCGGTATTTTGCCTGTAGAATCATTTAATATTGGAACTTGAGACTTCAATTTTTTCAGCTTGGGGGAGCTGAGGGTGTTCTTCGCCTTTGGTTCCTAACTCCGGATCATTGCACATTCCTCGATCCTCTGCTTCTGTGTCTTCTCCAGCGGCCTTTGCAGTCTTCCGTTCAGCCTGCTCAGCTCCTTCACGCCATCATGTCTTTGATTCGCGTTCACTATTTAATGGTCTAGAACCAATATCAGAGTCTCTTCTGACATCCATTTTGGTCTTTTCTTTATTTCCTGCTTTCTGTTTTTTAATGACCTTTCCCTTTCTTCGTGTATGATATCCTTGAAGTCATCCTATAATGAATCTGACCTTTGGTCGTTAGTGTTCAGTGCATCGAATCTATTCTTGAGACGGGCTCTGAATCAGGTGGGGGTATACACAAGGTCATACGTTGGCTCTCACGGACCTGTTTTCATTTCCTCACTTTCCCCTTACACCTGCTTAGGAACAACAGATGTCTGTTCTGGAGTGACGGTGTAAAGCGCCATTGATTCTTCCCACACAGGGAGTCCACTGATTGCTGTATATGACATCTGGTGTTGTCTATGTGTAGAGTCACCGTTTCTGTTGTTGAAAAAAATGCATTCCCAATGAGTAGGCCTTTGAACTTGCAAAATTCTATTATGTAATCACCAGCATAATTTCTATCACCAAAGCCATAGTTTCCAACTACCTAGCCTTCTTCTTTCACACTCAGTTACCAGCAATTAGTGACACATCTTGATGGCATGTTTAATCCATTTCACACGACAATCGTTTAAAAATCTTCCATTTCTTTGTCTTTGTGGTTATTGGTAATGCATAATTCTTAATAGTAGTCATATTGATTGGTCTTGCATGTAAGACTGTGAATATTATCCTATCATTGATGGCATTATATTTCAGGATAGATCTTTTT